GCTAAAAATAAAACTGAATTAACAATATGCTACATTTCTTGAGCAATCATTGAAATAAACGATTTGCAAACAATGGAAACATAGAAAAAGTCATAGAACACAACCAAGTAGAAGAAAAGAAATAATGGTTTTTAAAAAATTTATAATCCTTATTGTAGACTACCTAATGCGGCTATGAGAGGGAAAAATTTGTAGAAACACTAAAAAACAAGATCAGCTTTTTGAGAAAAGATAAGATATTTACAAAAGATTTGGATTATATCTAACTGTTGTGTAGATGTGAGTATTTCCATAATCTTCGTGAGTCGCCTGTAATGCTTAACAATTGCTCGAATTCGAGCAACAGGTACACTATTCTATATATTAATTTGAAACTGTTTTTCTTTGTCATATCTATTTTGAGAGAACGGCTGGGCGTAGAAACTCGGTAGGGGTGTCTAAAGAAAGGTCTTGGTCTGTAGATGAGCCATCAAAAGAGAAACGTGGTAAATTCCCTCGGGGCTCTGCCCCAGTGGCCTTTAAAGTCCCATCCCATGTTATTCTTATGGAGGAAAACGGGGTTTTTGTCACAGCTAATTTGAGAGAACGGCTGGGTGTAGAAACTTGGTAGGGGTGTCTAAAGAAAGGTATTGGTCTGTAGGTGAGCTTTCAAAAGAGAAACAAAGTAAATTTCCTTGGGGCTCTGCCCCAGAGGCCTTTAAAGTTCACTCAGCAATTTTGTTTACATTATGACCATATGGATAATTTTACACTACTTTTAATGAACCAGATGTTAATATTAAAATTTTATTCAAAGGAAACTGTCAAAATTAAATGTTTATTATTGATTCCCCACTGCATGGCAAGTTTTTTTATAGTTTCAACAAAATGATGAATTTATAATACATTTTAAATGTTTTGTTCAAAAATCTATGCTTTATTGCTCTTAGAAAATTTTAAATTATGAAATAACTGTGACATATCATTTTCAAAGGAACATATAATTATTCCTTATCGGGTTAGCTTATATATATTGTAAGGTTGGCACTTGCCTTTTTTCCCTACTTTCAATCACCATTTATTTTTGAATTCAAGAAAGAACACCAGAAATTCATTTATTGGTATGAAAGTTTTCGATAATCGGGTTGAAAATTGTGTCATAGATGAGTAACTTACGTTGAGGATGAGAGCTGTGTTCAAGTTTTGGAATAGACTAACTACGGAGTATTTTTCATCTATGGTTTTGGTGAAGTAGGTGAACTAATGTCAATTCAGGTATTTAAAAAAAAAATGTGTAGGCCTACAGGGTTTTTACTTTGATGTACACAATCAATCAATCAATCAATCAATCTTTATTTGCCATAAGGATACATTTACATATCATTGACAAAGTCTATTTGCAGTTTTCAAACCAAGTCTTAAAATAAACAACAAAATACTCTTACAGGCCAAATATTACAATTAACTTTCAACTCCATTCACATTCTTAACTGAAATTAAAACCAAACTAAAGGACAATTTCTCCCAGTTTAAAATAATCATCCAGACTATAAAAAGGGTTCTGAAGTAGATAATTATAAAACATAGCCTTAAATTTGTTAATTGAATGAAAATTTATATTATTTTTTACTGAATTATACACTTTAATTGATAAAATTATGTGGCAATTACTAGTTTTACTAAGACGATGGGATTCTAACAGTGCAGTATTTTTAAAACGAGTGTTGTGACTGTGATTATTAAATTGAAGATATTCAGGGGTTTTTAATATATAAACAATCAGATCATAAATGAACAAATTTACTGCAGTTTGAATTTGCAGATCTATAAAAAGAGGTTTGAAATGATCAGGGTGTGTCCCTGTCATAGCTCTTAAAGCCCTCTTTTGGAGAATCAAAATTTCTTTTATTCTACCACTACCACCCCAAAGCACCAATCCGTATCTCATGATTGACTGGAAGTACGCAAAATAGGCCGTCCTTACATATTTCTTAGGAACCTGATCTACCAGACGATCTAAGAGATGCACCACACGAGACAATCTTGAAGATAAATAATCTATGTGAGCATTCCATGTGAGTTGATTATCAATTTGAAGGCCCAAAAATTTTACAGCTGTGCTATTATTTAGATCACTCATAGTGGGGATTTGTTTTAGTGTAAAAATCATGTTTTGGGTTTTTTCTTCATTAAGCAAAAATCCATTCGCATTAAACCAATTTGATGCTTTTAGCTTTGTTTCAAGGACAAGATTTTTTAGTTCTGTTAGGTTGGGGTTTACATGAAGAAATGTTGTATCGTCAGCATAAAGAATAGTTTGACTCTTTACTGCCAATGGAAGGTCATTAAAATAAATTAAATATAAAAGTGGACCAAGGACTGAGCCTTGGGGAACGCCCCATTTTACATTCTTTTCTTGAGACGTATTGCCATTAATACTTACTATTTGTTTACGATTGTTTAGGTAAGATGAAAAGAATTGTAGAGATGGCCCTCGAAACCCATAATTTTGTAATTTGTTTATAAGAATTTTAAAATCAACACAATCAAACGCCTTGCTCAGGTCACAAAAAGTGCCCTGAGCAAATAACCTATTTTCAAATGCCCCATGAATCTGACGAATTAGATTATCAAGAGCATCAATAGTGGACATTCCCTTTCTAAATCCAAATTGGGATACATTAAACAAGTTGTTCTCCTCAAAATACTCATTAACCTGTTCAAAGACCAAGATTTCAATTAATTTACCAATTACCGGAATTACTGAGATAGGACGATAACTTTGGGGTTTATCTCTTGGACCCTTCTTATAGACTGGACAAACACGTGAGACCTTCAACAAGTCTGGGAATACTCCAGCTTCTAACAATGAGTTTATACAATTAGCAAGAGGTACATGTAAACTATAAATAATATTTTTCAGTAAATTATTTGACATTCCATAATTCATCACTTTTTGAGTTTTTCATTTTTTGAACTGCATTGATAACATTTAAAGGCGTTGACACATGTAGCTAGGTCGAACAACGCATCTAAACCTCACTACATACAAAACATTGGGAAACACAACAGTGTCATCACATCTCATCGCATTTGCATAATTTGTTACCAAGGCTGGACTAGGTTATGGATTTGGTTCCGCAAATGTTCAAGATTTGTGATCAAATTTCCTACAATTATGGTTCATTCCATCCACGAAAAACATGCACAGCTTTATGTGGTCGATATGGCCAGGCAAAACTACCCCATAAGTTAATGAATTATCAAGTAAGAATCCTGTTCTGATTAAATACATGGGTCGATGTGGCAAGAGAAGGAATTAAAATTGCTTAGATCGAAGTAAGAATGTTACTGATCTGGAGAATCAGATATTTTTATCAAATACAAAAAAAGAAACTTATTTAAATGCTGATAAAATTCTGTATTTTTATGACCAAAGATGAAGATTTACTTATAAATCTGGATACAATCTGAATGATTTTTCTAAAGCAGATGGAATTAGTTGTTAGTAATAAATATTGACTCTTTCCGTAACATGGAAGACTAATTATATGAACTCATTCTCCCATATAGTGAAAGTGGCTTTGACATGATAGCGGACATGATAAGTGGCTTATTATTATGCTTATCCTCCCTTCATTTAACTAAGATTTTAATGACTTCACTCTATCTATCGCAGTTAGCTGAATTTACATAAAACCTCAAGATTAACCGTCGATTTCGACGGGGTTCCACTAGTACTATAGAATACTGTAAATTAAAAAAAGCAAATTTTATCAAACTGTGTCCTGCCTTATTGCAAACGCAAAGCTTGAGTATAACTGCAATAAGCATTTTATACTTATATTCCAACCCCGTACGAAGGACGGGTACTCTGCTAGTATATATATATATATATATATATATATAAATGTGTGTGCTTGTGTGTGCGTATTTGTCTGTGTTCGTTAGCGTGACAACTCAAGCAAAAATTATCCGATTTTGAAAAAATGTAGTACAAACGTCTAAACCTATATTGTTTATTCGAACGAGTTCGCGAACCAGCATAATCGGACGATGGGAACGGGTTTATGAGGGGTATTATGGGGTTAAAATTGATCTTTCCCATTTTTGACTCTAAAAACACAAACATTCATAATTTCTCTCCAAACCATTTTGTAGAGCTTAAAAAAAAAATAATTTTTGTATATTGAAACATCGTTTGCCCAACGGTTACGGAGATAGTTAAAAAATTCTAAATTTAAAATTCCCATGTTATTCTTATGGAGAATAAATAAACTGTTGTAGTTTGCTTGTTTATTGATATATTTTAACCAAATTTGGAAATTTTCTTTATTTCATACTAAGCTATCAACATTGCAATATAAAACACGCCACGATATCTTCCCTGTAGCTGCAAACCTAAGTACTCACTAAAATTAATGTTATTTAAATCTTCTTATATATATAAAATCCAATGTATGTTTGTTTGTTTGTCCTTCATGGATTCTGAAACCGCTCGACAGATTGTAATGAAACTTTCAGGCATTATTCAACGATGGTTTGTGTGAAGTTTGGTGCAGATCCACCAAAAGGGCTCCGCCCTAGTGGCTCTGGAGTTTCCCATGTTAACCTTTTGAGTACTCATATTTAAATTGAATTAAAGAATCTTAACAGCTGGGTCCAACTAAACAATTTGATTCTTTGATGTTCAATAGCATTAAAAAGTTAATAGGTTTACCAACAGCGTGCAGCACTATTATTCTTTTTAAATTTATGACAACAGCTAATTTGCAACCAAAAGGTGAGTGAGCGTAGCGAACAAACTTCAACCTAGATGCGAGTTAGCGTAGCGAACGAGCTCACCTGAAGGCAAGTGAGCGCAGCGAACAAGCTCCAACCTAAAGGTGAGTGAGCGTAGCGAACAAACTTCAACCAGGACATGATTGAGCCATGGGAACGATTTGCTGCGGCGGGGGTATTAATGTCAAGCTTATGGGAGAAAGTAAGTAAGTCTGCTGATACCCTTATTGTTTGTGCAGGGATTGTGCCAAGCGCAACCCAGGACTGAAGGTACATCTAAGGGTGGAAAGCACTAGAGAGCGACATTTGCTGTGGCAAGAAGGAGCTCCTGTACACACAGTGTTGTACTCCAGTCCTCAGTGTAAGGTACAATAGTTGATACTGTACAAAAGCCTCTCAGTCACATTCCTAGCTTAGTGGAACGACACGTTTATAATATATTGTGCAATTGCTGTTAAGGGTGTGCTCTACCTACCTTAGCTCGGATTTCTCAATATGAAGTTGCCGAACGCCGATGTCCCTATACCATTGCATTGAACAGCGCCTTGAAGAGCTCTTGCAAGCCTTTCGAGTCTGCTTGATTACATAGTTATCCTTCAACTTTTTAGTAAACTAACGGCAGGTTCTTGTTTTTAAGAATCTATTTCACTTTTCCCGTTTTTTATTTTTCTTTAAAAATTATTTGTATGCGTTAAAACTTATGATAAAAAATGGGTATTTTAACATTTTTACCAACCTTTGAGCCCAACATTTTTTAAACTATCAAAATTTAAAAAACGGCAAAACTACAATAGTATTTAACGAAAAATATGACACCAAGATCTTTTAAATTGGTTCACAATTGGGGCTACAATCAGGAAGAACTAAACCCTTTCCATTCGCGCATGCCAGACGAGTAGAGCGTACCCTTAAAAATAAGCAAAGTCGAAACCAATAGGGCAGTGCTGTCCTTAGGGTGAAGCGTCTGCTCCAGGCCTCGCACCGGGGAAGGCCTCGTTGGCCTAAATATGTCAGTATAAATATGCTCCGGCCTAAATATGCTCGAGGGTATTCCATACCCCCCCGGCCCCCCAGAAACATTATTAAACAAGGCCTCGTAAAACTATTTATTGCCCCAAGCCTCGCATTTTATAAGGATGGCTCTGCAATAGGGTTGTGGTTAAAAAGGGTTACTGTAGTCATAACCTGTAAGACTTGTGCTTTTGGAAACAATGTACATAATATGTTCCTGTAGGGCTTCTGCACACTAGGCCACCATGGTACTTTGGAAGCGTGATTGGTGGCGAACCACTTCATTAGCCACCACACTTGCTCAGTTCATTGTTTTATATTGATCGTGATGGAACTGGAAGGAGCTTGTGGGTTTAATATTATGTTCCTTCATTTGCGGAATAAGGGGAAAACCCAGAAGAAAATACTAGATGTACCAGTTTTTGCCATTGCTGTTTTTGCTCCTTATTATCTGCCCACACCTCGCAACCTAATGGAGGCACGGCGCAGCAAAATAAAAAACTTCCACTCCCAATTCCCGTGGTGGATTCAAGAAGTTTTCAACTGCGGTTCTTTGAGAGTTGTCAGGTGTATTTACTTATAAGATGCGATTAGTTGTTTGCTGAAGCAGTAGAAATTCTTCTATTCTTCACACTCTGCTTTGCATTCATAAGAGTTGTATAAATATATAGGAAAATATATTTATCCAGTATAAATATATATACTGAATTGTATAAATGCAACTAATGCAAGTACATTGACCAAATGTTTTAGTACTTAAATTGAACATGGAGGTTGAAATTCAATCAAATTCTTTATTGGTACTGTTTTCAAAATTTTACAATGCATGGTTTTAAAATACATATCCTTTCATGTTCTTACGAACTTGTGAAGGTTTATCCTTTTTAGTTTGGGCAAGGATCCAGTCCTTACGTATCTACTGCGCCCGAGGAAGTCTACTGAAATCCCACACTTCCTTGAATGATATTTCCTTGTTGCAGTTGCAGACTGACGTGGTTACGCGAGCCATAGACCTTTACCAAGAGAAGTTATGTGTCTTTGGTCACATTGGCCTACCTAGATTCCATCAGCCTAAGAGCTTCAATGACCGCATCGACCCGTTTTTACTGATGCTTTGTCGAGCCTGCCCGAAACTTCACACTCTGGTAAGTAATCTAATCAAGTTGTCTCGTTTCAAAGGACCAATAGCATCGAAAGGTTTCCAAAGGTTGAAAGTAGGATTACTTGCCAGCTCAAATTGTGCATCCATTGAACCTTCAACCTAACAAGTATAAATATTATAAGGCCCTACATCTAAAGATATGTTGATTTTGTATTATTTTTTAGGTAGTAAGAGAGAGGATATCAACCAGTACAGTACTGCTGTTAGCTGACGTAGGCAAGAACCTGCGTCATCTGTATATCAGACGCAACGCAGTCATACTGCGTTGTGATTGGCCACGCAACCCTGAGTGGTCACCTGGGTAAGCTCAAATGTATCGTTAGTCGAGAATTGATCTGCTGAAGTATTGTCGGAAATACTATACACAAGGTTTGTTTACAAAATAAATCACAATTAATTTGAATAGCTTATAGCTAAATCACAGTGGTTTGTTCATTACACTTAGACTAATAATTTCAAAGTATTAAGTGCCCTTTTACTTAGGAACCAAGCAATCAAAAGAATAGTTCAGAATCTTCACTACATGGCTACATATTTTGCACTAAACTGTTGTAGGTTCTACGAGTGGCTGCGTATGTCTTCACGCTCATACGAGGACACAGAACGTGAAGTGTCCCAGAGGTTTGGACACTCGTGGCACATGCTGTCTGACAAAGAGTTCACCCGGCTCTCCGTCGGAAGACTCGTCTACGACTGATGTAATGTGATATTTACTGAGTTAAGGTGCCCAACTTTACTAAGCTGTTATATTTATTTATTACGATATATGTATAACGTCTACTTTAAATTACTACCTAACCAATTTTCATGATTGAGATGTCTTTGTTCAAGGTGCCTTTAAGCATTGACGTTTCGATACTGAATTATACATCCTATCTACATGGAGGATATGTCGCCAATTTTTTTTACTAAAAAGTAAAAACACTGTAGTTGAATGATTCAGTCACAGAATGAGCTGCTGTCTAAAATTCTATGTTCTACCTTGTCTGTTCTACTAAAATAGTTACGAGGCAGAAAATGTGTTGTAGCTAATAGTCAACCTATTAGATTGACTTGGTTAAAAAATTGGCATACTTGACCGGAATCAGTAATTTACATCGGGGATTGCTAGTTGTATCAATGTTGAAGTTTCATGTTTCATGTTACTTCTACCTTGTAATGCACTTCATTCTCACCGTATTTACGTAAAACAATCATATCCTTTTTACGTTATATTTCAAAACCTTGACATCCATTTACATGTTAACTCAGTTGATTGATTTCATTGTACTGATCTGGATTTAATTCTAGATCCATGACAGCACAAAACATCCCCATTCAAAGTTTGAACTAATATACAGGGTTTACAATAAATATAAACAGTATTGGTATAAGCAGTTGTTTAAAACAACAAACTTAAATGTTAAGCAAAGTTAAGTTGCCATACTTTGTAATTTGATGCTGCAAAAATTCCGAAATTTCTTGTAATTCTAAGCCTAGTACTTAACGACAACTGAATCATGTTTTTAAATAAAATTACAATTTAATTTATTATTTTTTTCAAATAAAACAGCACAGTATATGCTCTAAAACAAACATTGACAAGTACTGTTTTAATAAAAAATCACCTTCATACGTTACGTAAATCAATAATATATTTAGTGTAAATCCAGGCAATTAGAATCTTAATTGAGATAAGGTACAACGCCAATTAGTCCGGATTTCTGACTCTTCTGTGTTTGACATTTCTAATTACACTTCAATAATCCTTAGCTTCTCAGCAACTGTGCTAGTCTTGTGTTTGCTCCGTGAAGGTGCTATAACTATTAATTAATTATTTTAACTGGCAGTCACATCTTAAGAATTGCTAGACTGTGTGAGTAAATTAAGTAATGTTCAGTTGCAGCATTGCGTTATTACAAAAAAAATGTGTTAAAATTCACAGACGGTAAATTGTTTAATCATCTGAAAGAGTTGGGAACCTTTTGTCTTATTTTGTTTGATCAAACGATTGTGATAGATTTTTTTACTTGTTATGACATGTATATAAAGTGTACAGTTTCTTTTGTACACATTTGGTTATAAACTTGTTTTACATTCAAGGTGTTTGTTGTTTTTGTTCCTGTGTTTGTTAATATTATGTGTTTTGTGCTTTATAAATAGAGAATCAATAATAATAGATGGTATATAATACTGTACAATTGTAATATCTCTTGGGATTATATCCTCAGAATGTAGAACGTCCTGGGAATGTAAGACAGCCACGGTTGGGCGAACTAATTCCCAAACATAATTAAGGTTAATGCCTTTCCACATTGGCGTAGAGTTGCTTGAGTGACGTCTTCAGGCAACGTAGAGTATTAATACGTAAGCTATGAAACAGTTTACACCGAAATGTTGTATTCGTTTGAATTTGTCCACAGTTTGAGTTGTGGGCGAGAGCATTACTGGTTGTTTGTTTCAAGTATTTTGTTGATCAATTTATGTTCTTTGTAGACTGGGCTAGAGATGGTGTTTAGTGTTAATTGGTATGAGCCAGACTTAAGCTTAAGTATGCCTTGGTTGGACTGCAGTGAAAGCAGTGACAGTGACTATTAACTTTTGTTTCAGTAATCATCATTGAAGCAACAAAGTACCCACTTTGTTTGTCATTAAATTAATCAAAGGATGGAATCAGTCTGCAAATAGTGACACATGATGAAAGATTCGAATATGTACGATTAAACGTTTTAAATTAAAACGGTTTAAGTAGGCAGAGACACGAACCACTGAACCGTCTACTGTGCAAATGCTCGGCTCACAAAAGTAGACGTTGCACTGGCGACGTTTATTATGTTGCTTCACCGACGAAATGCGATGCCATCAGAGTGAAATGGCCTTTACTAATAAAAACTAATTAGAATCACCAATTCTAAATTCTGAAAGATAATTTAAAATAATTAAATAATTTCAATAAGAATAGATACAAAGATAATGACAGTTTTTGACACAGAATGATTTAATGTAGTCCTTAATTAATGTATTGTTTATATAAAAACTTTTTTTTTAAATTGTTGACCATTGTTATAATTTATTGTTTGGATCTAAAAACATAGCTGGCATTTAGATAATTAGCTTATGCCTGTGCTTTTAAAATTTCTTTCATTAAAATGTAAATGATGTCATGAATCTATAATATTATAACCCGCTCCTAAAATTGAGGCTTGTTTAACCTAAGGAATACATTGGATTTTAATTTTTAGTTTAGTTATTACAGTATTTTTGTCTATGACAATCAACATAACGTATTAACAAATGGGTAAAAATCTCCACTTCAATCAGTTAACCTGCTGTCATCAATTTAATAAGAATATATGGAGGCCTGCACATGATATTTTGCAAACCTTGATTTTAGTTTGTTTCTTAATTAAATGTAAAAATCTCAATGATCTTGGAATATTTTATAACTCCCATCAGCAGTAATCGGGGGAGCGAGCTGGCGTAGTGGTTAGAGCGCGGGACTTCAGTCCCTGAGGTCCCGGGTTCGATCCCCGCTAAGTCACTAATGGATTTTATCTAAGTGATAATGTCGCAACCCCTAGGTCTAGCCTGAAGTAATGTGAAAAACAATCCCAGGCTCGTGCCTAGCGTCCTAGGAAAAAAAATAGATTTTTAGTTTTTAAATTTACCAAACTCAATTAAATTAATGGTTCAAAACTCTAGAGCAGCATGTCTTTGTAATTGCATTGTTTCATGATTAAAAGAAGCTTCTAAGTAGTTTAACAGTAAGAGAGGCCAGTAATTATGCCTGCATTACCCTCTTAATGATGGTTTAACTCTTGCAGCATTCTGTTCTCGTTTTATTCACAATATTCTTACTTAAAAGTAGTGAAGGTGAGATGGTTGGAATCCCTCATAAATCATTAACCCTAGAGGACCCAAAAAAAATTATATTGGCTGTATTGTGTTCAATAAACAAAATCTTGATACATTTTTATGTAGCCTAAACTATTTTTGCATGAAAAACTCAACAAAACAGGCTGAGAACACTGCCCACATGAACTACAACCTTAAAAACAATATTAAATCTATTTCCTTTTGGCATTTTGTTTACTAGTAAAGATAGTTTTGTGGATTGTTAAGTCGGATTATTGGCTAGTTGGTCTGGAGTGCTATCTCCCTAGCCAGAAGGAAGCACTGTAGATTAAGGGTTCAAATCTTGCATCTGTCAGAAATTATGTGAGAGATGCCTTCCTAAAATAAACAAATGTTCTCAGAAAGTTTCCCGCAGAGGTGAATAAATGGGTGACCGGTGCTTACTGGAGTTTCTTGGGTAGGTCCCTGTTGGTCAAGTGTTAATTCCTGGCACTGCCTAAAGGATCCTTTAGGGGCCTGGGATGGGACAATGGTGCCGCAGCAGTGTCCACTATACGCCAAAATACTCCAGGTCCGAATGGCATTATGACTTAGGTTCTAAAGGACGTACAACTGCTTTGCGACATTCGAGACTGCTTTAATAGTTTGACCTTAACACTGCAGATTCTGTTTAGGGGGTGTTGCTTTGATCTTTAGTAATAAGTATTTTGCAGTAACTACTGTGATCCATAAGGAAACAGTCCAGACATAAAACCACATTTGATAAGGATGCTGGTTGGTTTCCCGAGGCCAAATGAGTTTTAATTAGGCCCACATTTTCCCTGTCTCGTTTTATACAATATGCCTTCCGTACAAAAAAACTGGCAAACGATAAACATCTTTTAGACCTGGTGTGTCATTGAATGATCACATTTAAAAATCTGTTCCACTTAACACTCATCAAATTGACCCCCTACTACATGCAATGCTGGTAAATTAAATCACATAAAATCCAAATCTAAATCCAAAGTTTTCTTTAGAGTCTGTTATGTTGGCAGTAACAGTTGAGTCATGCGGGAATCTGAATCAACATATAAAAGACCCAACAGTCACTGTTGAGTCCTGGTTGGTTATATTTCACTGTTAACCGCCTCCTAGCTGTACATTTAACACACCCCTTAACTTGGGGGAATAGAAGGGTGGAAATGAGGCAATTTATGCTCACGGGAGGGCTGTAGTTTCATTTCCACGATTAATTAATCCAAACCACTTAAGTGATGGAAACTCAATTTTAAAATTGTTGATTATTTTGTAAATCTATAGTTTTTTTTTGTAAAAGAACAATTATTTAAAAGTGAAGATGTTTGTTTTATTAGGAGAATTGAATGTCTTTTAAATTAAAAATGAATTGAAATGTAGAAAAGGATGTATGTTTGCTATTTGGAGTAGTAATACCTGTTGGTATTAACCACATTGTATGTAAATTCATATTGTGTTTTTTTTTTACTAATTTCAATAAAGAAGCATGAATTAATCATCCAATAGGAACTACATAATTTTTTCAACTAGGCAGTAAGCGTAGATACATCAATATTCTTTTGTTTAAAAAAGCTATACTGGACTTTAAAAATGAAAGATAAATTGGAACAGACATGGGACAGATTTATATCCTTTATTAAACACAATAAAGTTATATTGAAACAAAAATTCTTTGCTTTCTAATTTTGAAAATAAATTGTTACATACATAAATTACAATATCTAATAACACCATGTATTTACAATAAATAAATAATTAATTGGGAATCCTGCGAGTCAACTTAAACCTAATCCTCCCTTTTCGAATTTAAAATTAGTATTTTATAGTAATATTGGAATTTAGCACATATAATTAATATTTTGTTGATGGCGTTTTTGCCTAAAAAGGTGATCGGAATATATAATTAATGTGTAAAATAAAATATATAGGACTACCTATTGCAGTTTTATTATTATTTTAAGGTTAATTGTACCTGAAGTATTAACGTTAGAAACTGTTTAAAAAGGATTAAACTTTGATATTAAGATTTATACTTTGATGAAGACAGACGACGCGAAGGTATCCCCTGAGGTTATTCTACTTCTCAACTTTTACAATCTATCATTTGCATCCTTGAATCGCTGAATATTTTATACATCAGAAATCCAAAATGTACAATATTTCTGCGTTGA